AGTTAAGCTCCATGTTTAAAGCTTACAAACTGTTTTAGGGGATCAAATTGCCTGGTCTCTCCCGGTGTGTGCATGTTGCTAGAGAATTTTGAGTGAGCCATAACTCTCTAACCTAATTCAATAATTTTTTAACTCTATTTCAACAGCAGCTAAAAGAATTCCCCCATCAAACTCAGATTCTCTCTTAATATTTCTTTTTACTGCTTTGTGTTGCCCATCAATAGTTTGCTTGTTAGAATTGCAGTTACTGTATGGACGTTGGGTTATTTAAGAAGCAAATCTGACTACCTTGGGGTAGTTAGGTAGTATTTTGGTGTTCAGATAGGCATCACCTGCATAAAAGAGGGGCCTCAATTTGGGTTCACATTTCCAATAGGGAGCCTGTGACATCTGAAACAAGATTGGCATTTGTTAATGTGCTACATAAGGTTCAAAGGGCTTAATATGTGGGATGTGTCCTCGGCGTTGTTATAGCATGCTTCATGTTTAAATGGATAAAAGGATCCATCATCACTGAGTTCTGAGGCTTTATGTGTGGGATGTGTGCTCGGCATTGTTGCAGCATGCATCATATTTAAATGGATAAAAGGATCTATTATCACTGAGTTGCGAAGTTGAAACAGCAGATCTCTCTCATTAAAGGAAGTATTACATGGATTTGTCAGTATTGGTCTGGCAGGCAGAAGCAAATGATGTTAAAATAAGGTTTAGAAATCTTTCGTTGCAAAGGAGTCATGATACAGGAAATAAATACGGTAGCTTATATTAGAGAGTTTAGCTACTTATGCTCTTAAAAATAGGATAAAATACAGGAATGCTGTCCAGAATGTCCGTGGTGAGAGATCCTGAACTGGCTGGTTCAGAGTACAGTGGGCCATGCCGAGAACAGTAAAGAAGCCAATGTATAAGTGGGATTTCAGGATGAGGAGGAGAAGACCCCAGGCATGGAATGTAGTTTCATTTGAAATTATGTGGGTAGTTTGGAGGGAGAAGAATAGAAGAGCGTTTGAAGGGTTGAGAATGATTATGTTTGTGAGGAGTAGCCTCTTGTCTCTAGTTTCTTTATTGGTGTACCCATGAGGCCCTTGTTTGTAGTTTGATGATTGGATGACTTTTATAAAGAATCATATTGTGGTTTAGGTTTATCTACTTTCTGGTATATCATTTGTATACGGGAATTTCCCCTTCATTAATAAAATTATTTACCTTATCAAATTCATTTCTAAGTTTTAGTTTTTTTTTTGATTTATTTGATTATCATCGTGGACCTCAACATCATGGGCTTCAAACTATGATTCTTTGATATTCTTCTTAGTCGCACTTTGTACTTAATTTTTCCAGCAGTATATTATTTTATCCTTGATGCATTTTATTCAACCAAAATCTACAGCTGAATGGTGTTCTGGACTCCCTCAGAAGGATCTATGCATGAGATAGTCTACAAACTTCGATGATATTATTGTACCAGTCTTGGTCTCTGGTGATATATTAGAGTTTCTCCTAGTGTCATTTTTAAGGCAGGAAAATATTTAGGTTGCACTTACCTTTTCTCCAGCCTGCTTTCTTTTACAAAATTACTTCATCAGCTCATAATCTGTTCTTAGCGGAAGTGACCTTTTTGTTTCTTGATATCCTTGTATCTGCTTGTTAAATAGATAACTCTCAAGTTAACTCACAGGCCTAATAGTTAGGTTTAAATTTATTTTTAATCACTTGTTAAATTTATTTAGGTAATGAACCTTTTGCTTTTGATTTATTTCTCTGATATGGATAAAAGTATTTGATGCATGGATATCCCTCAGAAGGATCTATGCATGAGATAGTCTACAAACTTCGATGATATTATTATACCAGTCTTGGTCTCTGGTGATATATTAGAGTTTCTCCTAGTGTCATTTTTAAGGCAGGAAAATATTTAGGTTGCACTTACCTTTTCTCCAGCCTGCTTTTTTTTACAAAATTACTTCATCAGCTCATAATCTGTTCTTAGTGGAAGTGACCTTTTTGTTTCTTGATATCCTTGTATCTGCTTGTTAAATAGATAACTCTCAAGTTAACTCACAGGCCTAATAGTTAGGTTTAAATTTATTTTTAATCACTTGTTAAATTTATTTAGGTAATGAACCTTTTGCTTTTGATTTATTTCTCTGATATGGATAAAAGTATTTGATGCATGGATATCTACAGGCATTAAGTGGATCAGAGAAGGGAGAATCAGTTATCATGCTACTCTCTCCTGCTATGTCACTGCCTATACCTACTGTGGACTCTTCACGACAGCTGAGTGGAAGCTCATTCACAAGTTTTCTTACAGTTCCTTTACAGGCTTTCGTTTTGATGCTTGGTTTCACGGGTTCTGACATTGACATGGTGTGCTAGCTTAACCCCAACTGCATCTTACCTGTTTTTTTTTATGTCCTTGGTTTGCTCACACATGGATTCTTGCTTTCAGGATATGTATGATAAGGCTGACAAACTTCTTTCTTCATCATTAAATGAGTGGGGTTTGTTATTAGCAGCATCAGATAATCTTGATCCTGTTTGGGCTCAAACTCTTGGAGATCCATTTTTACGGCGGCTTATTTTAAGGTAGGTTGCTGCTGTTCGCCAACATTTTCTTCCGTTCTCATCTTAGTCATCTAGTGTCAAGTCTTGAAGTAGGCCCTCGAATGGCTGAATATGGATATAGTTGATTTGATATTGAGCACCTGGCAAAATCTGATACTTCTCTGGTACATATTTTGCTGATTCACTCGTACATGTTTTTATTCCAAGATGTTGGTCCGGAGTGTGGTTAAATTGGTGTCTATTTGTATTTTCTCAAGGCTTATGGGTGTGAGGGTGGGTGTGATGTTGGTTTGGCATGCTAGTTAAATTGGTCTCTATTTGTATTTTCTCAAGGTTTATGAGTTATGGGCGTGAGCCGTGAGGGTGGATGTGGAGGTTAAGCGTGAATTCGTTTATGAGGAAAATTCTTGAGAATGGTAACAAAATCATAAATGTGTGACACAAAGGCTGTGCTAAAACCATCTGTACAATTTAAAGGGAACATTAAGTTAGCTTTCTTCTACTTCCTAATACAGGAATTCAATAATATCCGAGGCACATAATTTAGTCCTGTCCAAGCCTTTTCGTCTTTAAAAAACCTTTATGATTATTGTTTCTCTGTCTCACTGATGCAGGGACATCCAACAAAATTGGAAATTAGGTCTCCATTCCTCTGTTTCATTGTAGAGTTTCTAGTAGAATGATAATATTTCCCCTTCAATAACTCGAGGCTGCCACCCCGTTAATTTCCAATTTGTCATTTTTGAGGAAATTAAAATGACAAGTCAGCTGAATCCTTTAAGGATTGTTTGGTTTGAGTTATTAGGAAAGATAATCATGGTAGATTTCTTGCATTGTTTTATCCCGTGTTTGGTCATTATTCTCATATGCTGTATAAGGGAATCTTCGTAAAACTTGTACAGGAATCTCAACCTGGTTCTTATAATATGAAGAGTAGCTTCCACGTATTGGTTTGGTGGTAGTTATCAGTATTATCATCAATTCAATGCTTTCTCTATTATTTGCTTCGAGTATCACAATATTTTGCTGTTAGTACTTTTTCAATTCCTTGAATGCTATGTAATGTTTTCTCTATTATTTGATATTTCTTCTTTACTTCTGTGTGTTCTTTGTCATACTGCTTTGATGTGTTACTTGAACCGAGGATCTTTCGGAAACAACCTCTACCCCCAGTCCTCCACGAGGTATGTGTATACTTTACCCTCCCCAGACCCATCCCACAGGGTATGTTGTTGTGGGGACTTTCTAAATTGTTGTACCAGATTCAGTATGGGATAACAATCCCTGTATTAGGGTATCAGCTATGTATGAGATAAAATAGCAAAAAAAGAACCAAAATGCCCTTGTTTGTAATAGTTGTTTTCAAACCCTTCAAGCATGCTGGGGGCATATTACAAAATCTTATCAAAATACAAGGGGGACTGCACACAAGTAATGGTGCATGAATATAGAGTAAATCTTTTATATTTTAACAAATTTCTGACCAATCTAATGAACTCAAGTAGTTCTTTTAATAAGTAATATGTGTTTTAGTTATACGGGTCTACTTTCCTGTTGCTCTTTTCCTCGCAAAAACTTGGATGGTAAAACACTCTGAAAATATTGCAGATTCATTTTCTGTCGGACAGTGCTGGCGCTGTATGCTCCAACCTTCAACAAGACAGAATTTCTCCCTGAATGCATCCCTTCCCTTCCAGATGCTTTCCTGCCAACTAGTGACACATGTCAAAGGATAGTATTGCAACTTGCTGACATCTTTGGTGCAACCAGCAAGTTCAATTTTTCAGAAGAGACGCCGATGCTTTCTGATAGCAGATGCCAGGAGAATTGAACTTGGCAACTAATTTTTATTTTATTGGGTCAATTCTGGTAGCTTTGTAAATTGATTTGAAAATGAGGAGGCTTCTTTGGTTTGTCCCTTCTCTAATGTTTGTCTGTGGGGTTCTGTAGGTTGATATATATACTTGTCCAGTTAGTCATATGTGATGCTTGTGAAGTCTGAACAATGGTTCCTCCAACATTCCCAGTTTGATTGATATCCCAAATGTTTTCAACGCGAGCTGCGATCATGCTACAATCTGTATTGGCTAAACTCTCTTCTATACATCTTTCTATAGTTTCTTTTTCGCTCAAATGTTTCATATGTTCATGTGGAAATCAGGTAAAGAAGGATTTAGTTCTTCTTGGAGGTGTATTTAAGAAGTCAGCTGTGAGGGTGTTTGGTTAATTGTTTGTAGTTTCATGGTAGCTTTTATGAAGGATATGATGGACATTGATTGTAAAAAGTTCTCTCTTTTGTATTCCATATGCAAGTGAAAAATATAACTATGAGATAGAAAAATGTTTTTCTTTATACCAAGCACACCCATATATGACTACACTTCCACATATTTTGGTAACATAAAAATTTTACTAGTTATCCATGATGCATCTCCAAAAAAAAAAAGAATAAAAATATTAAAAATACCTTTAACCTTGACACAAATTACTGATAGCCTTAAAAATACTCTCTTAATTGATTAATTAAATTTAGATTCACCTTTAACATATAACATGACATAATGGTTTTAAACTCTTTTTAATTAAAAGCTGTACCAAAGATGTGTTTAAGTTCAGTTAATCAAGTAAACGAGTGTTTATCTTTAAATGTTTCAAATATGAAACTACTAATTCACACGAAATTCAGGGTGAATTCAAATTTGTCTTCTATAAGAAAAAAAAAAAAGAAGATAATTCTAAAGAATTGTAGTGCATTTCAGTATCCTTGAGGAGTTGCTGGGAAGATATTTCGGAAGGGGAAGAGAATATATATATATATATATATATTACTACTACGACGTCGTTGGTAGTAGCGGTTATGCCGTTAATCGTCTCTCCCAAGTAGCCAAGCTTCTGAAGTTCTTCAGTTTTATGAAACAAGGCGCAGGTACTTGTATGTTTTGATTCCTTTCTTCAATTTGCAACTCAGGGGAGTCCGAGCCAAAGAGGAAAAGAAAATTGTCTTGAAAATAATAATAATAAAAAAAAACACAAAAAAGTTTTCCTTTTGCTTTGATATTACTTGGAAGAAATTCCTTAGTGGCTGAATATTCTATGTATGGTGAAGGACACATTTTAATGATTTATGATGATTTCTTGAAACAAACGCAAGCTTATCGCCAAATGCCAACTGGCTCCTTTGGGGTTATAGAGCATTGGCATTGATTCGTAAACTGTAGGCAATAGTTTGAAGTTGTGTATCCAGCAATATTTGAAGGCACTTAATTTCTATATCGACCTGTCTCAAGTCTTCCTCATAACTATATGCTTATTGTTGATGATGAAGCAGGTGCTTGATTAGATGCCCTTTGTGTTCTCCTAGTTACATTTTGATTGCTATTGGGATCTTGGACATATTACAGTCTTGAAAGAGTTCCCAATCAAAGCTTTGGCCATGTCGGGAACTTCCTTTTTCTCCAGTCCACCACTATACACTACTAGTACTACCACCAACTACAGCCATAGCCCGTCACCTGACAGACTTAAATTCTTGATAGACAAATCAAAAAACATCAGACAGCTTCTACAGATTCATGCATTTCTTATTCGCAATGGTCTGGAGAGTGACCCAGTATTGAATTTTAGGCTCCAGCAATCATACTCTTCCCTTGGACACCTCCAACATTCTGTGAAGGTATTTAAACGCACTCATAGTCCGACTGTGTTCTCTTACACTGCCATTATCCATAATCATGTGATCAATGATCTCTATGAACAAGCCTTTGTCTTATATATCCAAATGCTAACACACAATATTGAGCCTAATGCATTTACATTTTCTTCCATGCTTAAAACTTGCCCACTTGAATCAGGAAAAGCCCTTCATTGTCAAGCCCTAAAACTCGGATATGAATCTGACACATATGTTCGAACTGCTCTCGTAGATGTCTATGCAAGAGGCAGTGACATTGTGTCAGCTTGCAAACTTTTTGACACTATGACTGAAAGGTCCTTGGTGTCTTTGACAACAATGATTACTGGATATGCAAAGAATGGGCACATCCAAGAAGCAGGAGTGTTGTTCGAAGGGATGGAAGACAGGGATGTCGTTTGTTGGAATGCCATGATTGATGGGTATAGCCAACATGGTAGACCTAATGAAGCTTTGGTTCTTTTTAGGAAGATGTTACTGTCAAAAGTTAAACCTAATGAAGTAACCGTGGTGGCTGCTCTTTCTGCTTGTGCGCAAATGGGAGTACTGGAATCAGGTCGGTGGATTCATGCTTATGTGAAAAGTAACAGAATTCAAATAAATAAACATGTAGGTACTGCTTTTATTGACATGTACAGCAAGTCTGGGAGTTTAGAGGATGCAAGAATGGTGTTTGATCAGATGAGAGATAAGGATGTCATAACATGGAATTCGATGATTGTAGGATATGCAATGCATGGATTTAGCCTTGAAGCTTTGCAGTTGTTCAATGAGATGTGTAAGTTGGGTCTCCAACCTACAGATATAACGTTTATTGGTATTTTAAGTGCTTGTGCTAATGCTGGATTGCTCTCTGAAGGGTGGACTTATTTTCAGTTAATGGAGAAGTATTTAATTGAGCCAAAGATTGAGCACTATGGTTGCATGGTGAATCTTCTTGGACGAGCAGGACAGCTAGAAAAAGCTTATGAATTTGTCAAAAGTATGAAGATTGATTCGGATCCTATTTTATGGGGAACTCTACTGACTGCTTGTAGGATTCATGGGGATGTAAGGCTTGCGGAGAAAATTATGGAGTTCCTAGTCGAACAGGATCTTGCTACTTCAGGAACTTATGTTCTGCTATCCAACATATATGCTGCTTCTGGTGATTGGGATGGAGTGGCAAAGGTGAGGGCATTGATGAAAAGAAGTGGGGTTGACAAGGAACCTGGCTGTAGCTCCATTGAGGTAAACAATAAAGTGCACGAGTTCCTTGCGGGTGATATGAAGCATCCCAAAAGCAAAGAAATTTACATAATGCTGGAGGAGGTGAACAAGTTGCTCGAGGCTCATGGGTACTTGCCGCAGACTGATATAGTCTTGCATAATCTTGGGGAAGTAGAGAAACAGCAAGCACTTGCGGTTCATAGTGAAAGGCTAGCAATTGCTTATGGACTAATTAGTACTCAGGCAGGAACTACAATCAAGATTGTCAAGAATCTACGTGTTTGTCCAGATTGTCATGCTGTCACAAAGCTCATTTCAAAAATCACAGGACGCAAAATCATTGTTAGGGACCGGAATCGCTTTCATCATTTTGTAGACGGTTCATGTTCTTGTGGTGATTTCTGGTAGAACTTTTAGCATATGTTAACAAGCAGGCATGCAGGTAGGTTAGGCATGAAAGCGGATATTTCCGTACTCAATTATTCAATTCTGTTTATTTTGATGAAAGCATCAATATGGACAGTGTCTATATTTTGTGAATTCTGTTCAGGTTGACTTATTCTGAGTAATTTGTAGACATGTAGGTGATTCTCTTATCTTTGTAGTTTGTATGGATAATCTTTCATATGTTTCTCTTTACCGCCGTCTTTGTAGTAAAGGGGTTCGAAAAATTTCTTATTTGAATATTGTTAGACTTGAGATTGAGTGATTCGACTTACCTGTTTATTTCCCTCCTGCCTAAATTACTTGAGGTTGTTCCTTTTGTCTCTCCTGAATTAATTGTCATGTTCTTCTCTCATATGGCTTGTTAACCTGCTGTTTATAATGCACAGAGTGTTCTATAAGCATCGCATTGTACCATGGTACCTGTCGTAGCTTGATGACATCCTCATACTCAACAGGAGCTTATATAGTTGAAACTGACTACCTTTCCAACTATCAAAGAAAGAGCCGGAGGTGAGATTTCATTACCATCTTCCCAAAAGCAATTCCGATTACAAACTAATATCTGACAACTGAAGTGCTTCAGATACCACCAATCTGTGGAAGATGCAACAACTTGTTGAGCATTGTCTGCTTCACAGAAATGCTTCAAAACAGGTGTGCGATTTCTTTTTCAGTCATTGACGTTTATGTACAGAATCACTTCCATAGCCCTTTTGTCAAGAATCTGATGGTATATCAGCTGCTATGTTTAGCATATTTTCCAGTGCACTAGGTTGCAAAATATGGAAGAAACAAGCGTTTCGCGTAATCAGAAAGTTGACATAAATATTAGCTCCATTTCATCTTGAAAAATATAATCTTTTTTCTCAATATTGTCTTTGCAATTTGATTCAGTGGTGTTCCATTTTGTAGGAGGAAAGCTACCAAACATTGATAGCTCTCGGGTAGAGCATTAGAACGGAAATATCCATTAGATATATTGGTGCGAGGTCATCCCTGTTCCTTTGTAGTTTGAAAATGGTATTATTCACAGAAGTTGTTTTTTAGATCACAAAATTCAAAAGAATCGCATCCATTTTTTGATACTGTGTCTAGTCAAATATTATCTCATAAATTGAGACGGACGAAATAGTATTTAAAACTACAAAAAAGTCAATATCATGGAGATTTATGTGGTCCTCCATAAATCAAATTAAAAAATTTTGAGCTTGAATTAGTAGAGAACCTTTTTGTTTTTGTATGGATTGACTTATTCGATTCCAAATATCAACGGAAATCTCGAATTTAAAGCGTGTTCAATTGTGTAATCTTATTCATGCGATTATGTACTCTTTGATATGAATTTGTTCGTCTAAAAGATCATGACTTTCCTACGATCCTTTTGATGAAGGGATATTTATGTACTCTACAATCCGTAAGTAATCGATACCAAAAAAGAAAAAAGATTTTTCTATTGCAAAAATAAAGATCTCATAAAATACATAAAACTAATAACAAATTTAAAAGGGGCTACAAAAATCGAACTTATTCTTGACGAGGAAGTTATATTCCATTTTGAGAAAATTATGCGAAATGACAAACATCTACAATATATTATGTAGTATAAAGTTCATAATAAATTATTCTATTTGTATATTGACAAGCGAAATATACAAATGGAGTTCTGAAAAATTCCAAAGTATATTCGCAAGAGAAACATATAGAAATGGACAAAAGAAATATACACAAATTGCAGCTCCTCCACAGCGAATAAAATTATAACTATAGAGTGTAATTACGAAACTATATTATTATATCTTATTATTATCATTGCTATTTGTGAAATTTTCTCAAATAAGTAATAATGGGCCGTCCCAAAATTTTGCAAAATAAACCCATCCAGTTACGACACTTTAGAATGGGCCGACCCGAAATTTTGCGGCTTGTCCAAAGTTCATATTTAAGAGGCTTCGTCCTCAAACGTAAACCCTTTCAAGCCTAGGGTTTTGGTCTGTCCAAAAACCCTTCAAAGGCCGTCGACTTCTCTTGCAGCCATCGATACACGTAATTTCTACCCTCTGCATCTTTAATTTTGAGTTCTTCGTAGCCTTTACATTTGTGTATGTGATGTTTTCTCTGTTAAATTAGCTTAAGATAATACTATATGGAGTATGTTTTTATCATTTCCTTTTGTTGTTGATAAACGATAGAAGAGTTGAGCTTCTGTTTTGCTACTACGATGAATTTATATGGAAATTTTGATACTCGATTCGTGCTTATGTTATGATTTTTGTTTTTGTTTTTGTTTTTTGTTGTACGGAAAATAGAAGTTCCCATTTTTCACGCTTCAAAAATTGTATTTTGATTCACGAGCAGCATATATTGACTGAGTTATTTAACTTGTTAGATTTTATTTTAGAATTTTCAAGATTATATTGCTTTGAAGGAGCCTTGGTTTGATAGGAAGTAAATTATCCTTTACTATTTCAGTTGTCTGCTTGTAACTTTAAAGGTGTTATTGTCATCTCAATCTCATGGATGTGAATGATGAAGCTTGGTTCATTCAAGAGTTCCTTTTTCTTTTGGTTGGATTTGTTAGCTTCCTTGTCTTAAATTGACCCTGAATAGGGATTCTTTAGTTCTTTTTTTTAGTGCCTTTTCCTTTCGTTGTAACTATGCATCTACTTGATCCTCTTTTGTGAATGAAACATCTTACTTTATCAAAAACAACCGTTACTTTTTGAATTCATGTATGAAAAAACCTCTTAACAAATAGCTATTGTATTGTAGTTCGCAATGAAGTTATGGTGGTTTTATCTTGTATATCTAGGCAGGTTTTAGGATAGAGACTTATGTGTTGTAATATGGGAATGTGTGTCATAATAGTGTATGAGGTACTGAAGTAGTAAAAGGCACTTACTGGAAAAACATTATGGAATAGTCTAGCTGTAAAATTTTGACTTGAGGCTGAAAAAGTTATCTTTCTTAATTGTATATACTTCAAACGACTTAAGGATTTGAAGGCACATTTAATAATTTTTATGTGGAAGATATTCTTGTAATGTGAAATGCTGAGTATGATTGGTTTGAGAGAGATCAGTTGTTTGATGGACTCTTTTTTTTGTGCGCCTACTAATGCAGTTTTTCATTTTATTCTGCAGTTTCAATTCTATACTGCAAGTCCAGATTATAAAAGATGGTGCAGTATAATTTTAAGAAAATTACGGTGGTTCCCAATGGCAAGGACTTTGTCGATATCATTCTTTCTCGCACCCAGCGTCAAACTCCTACTGTTGTGCACAAAGGATATGCTATCTCTCGTATACGTCAATTTTACATGCGCAAAGTGAAATATACACAGCAGAATTTCTATGACAAACTCTCCACCATTATTGATGAGTTCCCCAGGCTTGATGATATCCATCCTTTCTATGGGGACCTTCTTCACGTGCTCTACAACAAAGATCATTACAAGCTTGCCCTTGGCCAAATTAATACTGCTAGAAATTTGATTTCTAAAGTAGCGAAGGATTATGTGAAATTGTTGAAATATGGTGACTCACTCTATCGCTGCAAGTCACTGAAAGTTGCAGCTCTTGGGCGTATGTGCACTGTTATAAAGCGCATTGGCCCAAGTTTAGCTTATTTGGAACAGATTAGGCAGCACATGGCAAGACTTCCCTCCATTGATCCCAATACTCGAACCATCTTGATTTGTGGGTATCCAAATGTTGGCAAGAGTTCATTCATCAATAAGATTACAAGAGCAGATGTGGATGTGCAGCCTTATGCCTTCACTACGAAGTCCTTGTTTGTTGGTCATACTGACTACAAATATCTGCGGTATCAAGTTATCGACACTCCAGGGATCTTGGATAGGCCATTCGAAGATCGTAATATCATAGAAATGTGCAGTATTACAGCTCTAGCACATCTGAGGGCCGCTGTGTTATTTTTCCTTGATATTTCTGGTTCTTGTGGCTATAGCATTGCACAACAGGCCGCTCTTTTTCACAGCATCAAATCACTTTTTATGAACAAGCCGTTGATGATTGTATGCAACAAAACAGACTTGCAGCCATTAGAAGGGATTTCTGAGGAAGATAAGAAGCTAGTTGCGGAGATGAAAGATGAAGCTATGAAGACAGTGATTGGTCAAGGTGGTGAGGCGACAGATGAAGCAGGTGTGCTGTTAACTATGAGCACTTTGACTGAAGATGGCGTAATTTCAGTGAAGAATGCAGCTTGTGAGAGGTTACTGAATCAAAGAGTTGAATTGAAAATGAAATCGAAAAAGTTAAATGACTGCTTGAACCGCTTCCATGTTGCTATGCCAAAACAACGTGACCAGAAAGAGAGGCCAGCATGCATACCTGAGGCAGTGTTGGAAGCCAGAGCGAAGCAGGCTGAGGCAGATGCTGAGAAACAGAAAAGGAAGCTTGAGAGAGATTTGGAGAATGAGAATGGAGGTGCTGGTGTTTATTCTGCAAGCTTAAGGAAGCACTATCTATTAGCCAATGAAGAGTGGAAGGAAGATATAATGCCTGAAATTTTAGATGGGCACAATGTCTATGACTTTGTTGACCCTGATATCTTACAAAGGCTTGAAGAATTGGAGAGAGAAGAAGGTCTTCGTCAAGAGGAAGAAGGAGATGATGATTTTGAGATGGACGGTGCAGAGCTGACCCCTGAAGAACAAGCAGCATTAGCTGAAATCCGAAAAAAGAAAAGTTTGCTCATTCAGCAGCATAGAGTGAAGAAGAGCACCGCAGAGAGCAGGCCCACAGTACCAAGAAAGTTTGATAAAGACAAGGAATTTACTTCAAAAAGAATGGGAAGACAGTTATCTGCTCTGGGATTGGATCCAACTCTAGCAATCAATCGAGCTCGAAGTAAGTCAAGGGGTCGTAAGCGAGAGAGATCAGTTGAATGTGGAGATGACAATGGTAATGATGCAATGGATGTTGATGAGATTACTCCCAGCAAGAAGCAACGTAGGTCTAGATCACTTTCCATGGCAAGATCAAGGTCAATGTCACGACCTCGAAGTGAATTTGTTCCAGGGGAGGGCTTCAAGGACAAACCCCAGAAGGAGCAGGCTATAAAGTTGTTTAAGAAATCTGCTAATAAGAGGAACAAGGATGCTCGTCGGGGAGAGTCCGATAGAGTCATTCCTACTCTGAAACCGAAACATCTCTTCTCTGGGAAGAGATCAAGTGGCAAAACTGACAGGCGGTAATCACGAAGGTACATCTTACACCTCCTTTTAAGTTCCTTCCTTGACATTTTCAATTGCAGGTCTTAGGATATGCTTTTTCTCTACTCGCCATTTCAAAAACTGTTTTGTTTTGTGTTCATAGATACTTGTATACTTTTGAGTGTTCAAAACTTCTGTTTGATGCGCTGTTTGGTTCCTTTCTCATACTTAGAAGATCAGTGACTAATGTGTGCAAGATAACAATTATTACCTTCTGTTCTCCAGATGGCATTTTACCATCCTGCAGGATGACCACAGAATTTTGGGTGACTACTAGATATACATAAAGAGAACCGTTGTTGGAATGCCAGTTCAACTCAAGCTTAGTTTGGACAACCTGTGTAGTTGAATTTGCTGTCTCTGTTGTGCAATTTTGGAACTTACCTTGCATTTTTACTTTAGTTTATATTTTTCATATTGTTTTTGAACTTCAGAATGTGGAAGGAATTTAGTTTAACTCTTTTTCCAAAAATATGAGGAACATGTCAAGACTGCAACCTGTTGCAGTTTTGTAATGGCAACGCAAAACTACAGATGGAAGTATTTAAATTTGTGTTTGAATTGCTGCTGAGTTTGCTACCGTTTATTTTATCGTCTTAAAGCTATTATTGTTTATTTTCCACTATCTATACATTTTTATTTTACTTCGTTAATTTATGTTGATAACTTTTAGAGCTCTCTGTTTCTGCCCAAAAAACACAGCAGAGATAAAATTGATCACAGACAAGAAAAAACAGAAGCTAACTATTTGAGATTTTGCCACCAAAATCAGTATTTGTTTGACAGATTCTCCATGGATGTCAGAGAAGGTACAAGTAAGCAAATGCCGTACATTGACAATCTTAAAAGAAGAAAACAATTCAGATAAAAAAAGATATTTTATATTTATGTAGTCTAAAATCATAAAATGTAATAGTTTACTTTATTTATTTTTTTAAATCTATAATGATAAGTCAAATACGGACAAATAAATTGAAAAGATTTAGGCCTGTTTGATCATGTGATATTATATCATGATATATGGTATTATAATATAGAATTATAAGATGAAATTGAAGTTTTGTGATATGAAATTTGTGTGTTATATTTTCTCATAAACATAAAAATCTCATAAGTTGTAAAATTATTTAAAAAGCTCAATTATTTATTCAATCTTATCAAATAAGAAATTATATTATAAAGGTATTTGTTCTCTACTTAAGCAATTGTTTCATCTAGCTTTAATTTAATTAAAAAAATTGAACATAAATTGTAGTGTACTGGTTTTTAATATAATCCTCCACATAGTACGAACAATTTTCTTAAGTTGAACTTGCATTTATCGATCATGTGATCGAGAAGACGAACCAACATTGTTACTTTGAGCAATTTGTTGGTTAATATTCGCAAACTTTATTTTCATGTTTATAGATCATAATATTTCATCACTTTAACAATCGGTTGGTGTGAGTTAAAGTGACTATATGTTGTCGATGAGGATAATAAATTTTAAAAAGTAATGATGTGATTATAACTTTTATTTACATATGAAATAAATTGTTAGTAGATATGAATTTGGGGTTATTTTAACATATAAACTTGTGGATTAATTTTTGTATTAAAATATCTCAAATCATGATATGGAATCACCACGTAATTTCATATCATGTTTTTTGCAGAATATGGAATCACATCTCGTGATATGGAATCATGAAATAGAATCAACGTGAAATTACATGTTCAAACACTAATTTCATCTCACAATACCATATCGTGATATGATATCACATTGCCAAACACCTACTTAGTAAATTCCTTTTAACATGTCCCTAGAAAGTCACTTGGAAACTTGAGGCGTTTATCACCTAAGGATATACCATGCATTATATTTTTAATAACTAACGTATAAGCTTATTTTAATATGATATTAAAGTACATGACAATTACAGACATAAAGTGAAGAAAATATTGTCATCATTCTTCACAAGTCATGTAAAATTTTAAAAGATATTTGGCTGTGAAAGAAATTGTACATCTATATAAAATAATATTTTCTTTCGTGTATGGAAAAAAAGAGTGATAAAATGTTAGAGATATATATTATTGACCATATATTATTTATGGTAAAATATATTGTTATTCAGTTTTAATAAAAATTCTAATAGATTCTATACCATAATTAATAATTTATTATAATAAAAATATTTCAAATTAATTATTTGAATTATTTCCATAGTAGGAAGTCTAGTAATTAAATATTTATATTTAATTAGAACTCAAAATTAGGAAAAAAATAGGCCTGTGATGTTTACAAGTAGGATTCTTTTAACCTTAGAAATTCATAAATAATGCATCGAGAGAGTTTGGATATAAACTTGAGATTATAATAGAAAACTACAAAACAGTTGTCTTTTGTCTAGTTTGTTATCGCTGTTGAAAATCTTTCTTTTAACTTGTGAATATGAATTCACTTTAATGTATTCGCTCATGCTATAAGAGGTATTATTTAATTAAATTTAAACATATTTATATATGTCGTAGCATAAATGTATTAGTTATCTATTATTTTTTAATTTATATTTCAGCAAATTTATCTGTTCTAGCATAAGAGTATTGATTATCGGGTAAAAAAAAAAAGAATTTCTTAGGTTTCTCCTTTCTACATGAATTTGGTTTTCCAATAAATCTTCTTTTTATATAAAACTAAAACCCACAGACTCCATGTTAAGCCCTTAATTTTTCTTCTCCAGGGTTTTCTCATCGTTGCTTCAAATGGCGATCGATATTGCTCCTCCGAAGAGATGCCGGGTCACGGATGAATCGGAAGTTGACGTCATCGCCGGCGATTATGACGAACGCCATGAGGGATTGACACCGGCATGCGACTTTATGGATGAAGATATTAAGCCCTATGAGACATTCATCCCTGAAGAGGTTGATAGTAGAGATGTTGCGGTCACTGGAAAGACGATTATGGTCGCTGGGTCTTTTTACATTCCGAAATTGAACCCAGCAAAGCCATTAGGTGAAGACGCGAGTTTTATTTGCCTTAACAAACAGGTGATCGGTGTTGCTGATGGTGTTGGTGGGTGGGCGAAAAAGGGTATCGATTCAGGTATGTATTCAAGGGAATTGATGAAAAACGCTGAACTGGCAATTCACAAACAGAGTAATAGTACTACTACTACTAGTATTGATTTGATGAAAGTTCTTAATGAAGCTTTTTCGAAAACAAAGAATAAGGGTTCTTCTACTGCTTGTATTCTGTCTCTTTCCGATGACACATTGCACGCTGTTAACATTGGAGATAGCGGATTTGCAGTAATAAGAGAGGGGACAATTGTGTACAAATCGAAAGTTCAGCAATCAAGGTTTAATTGTCCTTTTCAATTGGGGAATGAGAGCACCTCTGATAAGCCGAATGTAGCGGAGAAAATCAGTGTTCCAGTGATTGCAGGGGATGTGATCGTGTTGGGAACCGATGGATTGTTTGATAATGTTCATGATTTTGAGTTAGAAACAATTGTGAATGCGGGGGTGGATTCATGGGAATCGGATGTGCCTGAGACATTGGCATGGAGGATTGCGCAGTATGCATTAGACAATGCCAAGAACACAGAGGTCTATACGCCTTTTACGAGAGAGAGTCATAAAGCTGGTATTGAACATAATGGTGGCAAGATTGATGATATTACTGTCATTGTCGCCTATATTTGGCCTCTCTAGTGTGCTCTGGATGTCTCATCTAAATTAGAGTCAACAATTTTTTATGTAAATAATTGTTCTTCATTGGTGACGAACAATCTTACATAATTTGATTTTCATGTTTGATCATTCAAGATTTGAATTCTGTATCAATATTGCAACATTCGAGAATTGACATTAACATAAACATAAATATCTTTTTAACACTCCAGTCTGGTACTTAATTGTATTGTTAAATTGCAACATCTTGTTGTCGTCATTTCTTTCTTAAAGATATGACAATGTTGGAGAATTTACCCTTTTGAACCAACAAATGACAAGCTAAATGGTAGGCATATCTTTCAAACAAATAATCAACAATGTGATCTCCGAATTGGAAATGGCTAACAAGCATTTGTTCAGAAACAGCTCTCATGGTTCTTGCTATGTGTTTACCACTGCTATACGCATCATCATCATCGTTGTCCCTCTCATCCCAGTTCACTTTGAAAAACTTTATGGTATCAACATCAAATGAACCTTCCATTTGAACAATTTTTTCAACTTCATCCTTGTATGGTGTGTAAAAAGGATAATTGAACGAGTCTAGTTTTGCCTGTTCAATAAGTCCCTGCAGGACATATCAAGAAAACATGAACATAGATTTAACAAAGGATTTAGTTTAATATACTGATGTATCTATTATCAATAAACTCTAACAAATTACTGGAAGATCAAAGCAAGAAGTTAGCAGAGGTGAAGTACTGGACCTCATGTATTAAATCAACGAATGACTTTGATAGAAGATCCAGATGAACTGAGTGATTTCCGTAGGGATCAGGAATGCCCCTTCCGATAAATGTTAAGACCATGTATCCACCAGTTACTATTTCCTCGGAGCGTACTTGCAAAAACCTTGAGAAATCATTGTCAAATTGCTTCATGTATGCTTCAAATACTTGAGGAGGACTTGTCCTTGTTATGTAAATGTTGTTGTTGTTTTCAATCTTTTCAGGAGCCTACATGTTTCAGTATGTAGTTTGAATATCATAATGTTTAGTGTATCTTAGCACAAAAAGATTCCTCTTTGTCAATATATATGATTTAACAAGATAACTAAAAAGACTTTAGTATGATTCATTGGTACCTGAGATAGCCAATGAAGACTGTAAGATGAGTGAACCAAGTGCAAGCTTTTGCTAGGAAATAGCCGCTCATAAAAGGTACCTGGAACGCCTGATACGAAACAATTTGTGTGGTTTTGATAGAAGGATGGAATCGATTTGAAGATGGTGTTGAAGTCATTATCAGGGAGATCATTCAGATATGCTTGAAACTCTGGCATTTTGCAACTCTTTTCGCCGCATAAAACTTGTACAATGTTTATGATATTTGATAGTGTGAAAAGTGTGTTTGGTCCTGAAGAGCAACCCAAGTCTGCCATATTCAAACATGACTTGGGAAACTCACCAATAATACTGAACATCTTCTTGATGGCATCTTCTAAAACAGGTTTTGCCACTTCTATTACCTTTCTCTGCCAAATAACGAAACATGAATCGAGTATTGGTTACTTAGTACAATAATTACGCCTCAATTCCAAACAAGTTTCATTAGACGGAATACACGTAATCTAGCCATAAAAGAGAATTCATACGTACCTGAAGGGTGGAGCTGCTGGCATAACTGCATTCTCCATTTCCTGCATTCATATGCACAACTTTGCTCCTTCCCATTATTTCTTCCACACTCTTAGCTGTCTTTTTTCTACATAAATACTATAGCCAATGATCCATAATTAATGCTCCTTTTGTCTTTGCACTTTATACATATGCTACCAGATATCATATCTTCCGTTTTAATTTATTCGTCTTTATCTTTATTTTTAATCCATATAAAAGGAACACGTAGGTCTATTTCTCACCTAAATCATTTATTTCTCATCTAACCAGTTTATTGGAAAAACGCATAATGAGTCTGATTCAATTAAAATATCAACAGAAATAATTGATAATATATATATATATATATTTTTTTTAATTTAATGAAAAAAATCAGATCTTGAAGATTGGAGTTGCTGGCATAACTGGATTCTCCATTCCCTGCATCCACATGCACAAGTTCACGCCTTGCCATTATTTCTTTTTTAAAAAAAGGGTTCTAAAATTCTGAAGCTATTTCAATTACGGCTAATGTGTATAATTAAAATAAAAGATATAACATAATATTTTTAATTAACTTAATTAATAATATACACCGTAAAGTCAATCAGAGTATTAATACTGTGGTCTGAATTGATTCTTTTCTTAAAACGGAAGTCTGATTCTTTAATTATTTAAATTGGATTCGACTCCTCTCCATTTCTCCATTTTTCTCAAGTTTCTATTTATATTAGTGATACATGACATAGGTTAAAATAAATGGTTAAGATTTAATTTCCAAATTAAATCGCTAACTATGATTTAATTAATAAATACATTATATATTAAGCATTAAAAATTATTATGATATAACTATCTTAGCAACATATTATCTTGTCCATAGATATAGGGGAAAAAATTCTCTTCCTAAATTTCTTTTATACGTAAGATCTTTTTTAAATTTTCTTTTAAATAATCTTTTACTCTAATTAACTGAATAGAAGTACATAAACTATAATTAATTATCGTATGTATTGGTATCACCGTATTTGTAATCTTATTATGAAATTGAAATTAGTTTGTTAAAATGGTTTGATTTCGCTAGGTAATTTATTAACCACGGATCAATATGCTTTTAACAAAAAATTACAATAAAAACATTATATAAACGGGAAAAAAAATCCTACGATAAAAAGAAAAAGAAGAAAACTTTTTTTCTATATTTATGGACAAGATAATATGTTGCTAAGATTGTGAGATTATAATAATTTTAATACTTAATATATAATGTATTTATTAACTAAAATCATGGTTAGAGGTTAACTTTGAGAAATTAAATCTTAACCATTTATTTTAATCTATGATACGTGTCATTAATCCAAATAGGCACTTGAAGAAAATGAAGAAAAGAGAAATGGAGAGGAGTCAAATCCAACGGATCAAAGCATGTATTATTGGTTTCTAAAAACATCAAATCAAACCCAAAAAGAATTGAATTATTTAATTTGATTTTTTATTTGAGTAGATCTTTATCGATTTACACACCTCTAAATTTATAATATATATTTTTCTGATTTCAATTTGGTCAATTTTGCCGGTTGGTTTGATTTGTGCGGGTACTTTTTTATTCTTGTAGATAATCAAAATAAATGATCATCAAACTCGACCTACCTCTCATATTCTCATTGATCTATTAGCATTTGAATGAAATTAAGCAAATATTGAGAAAAAATTGATATTAATGATATATTAACTACAAATTGATAAAAAATATTTGTACAAGATTTCCCTTTGTAATATATGATCTAATGGAGGTATTTTTATTTTTTTTTAAAAAAACACAATCACTCAAGCTTTCACTTGCTGTTGCTTGAACTCTTCACCACACATTTGTTATTTTCCTTTTCCTTTATTCTCCTCTTGATCAATATTTTCTACGTAAGTTTTTCATTCAGTGTCTCATATTTAGGCATATTTTAAAACTCTACTTTTAGCTGAACTCCTGCAACCATATCTATCCGTAACCCAAATCTTAGAATTTAGATCATACATGATCCGACCTCCCTATGTATCTGCACTTGTATCGAACACTCAAACATGAGACCTCATTTTTGTTAATCCATGATCCGAGTATGACAATGTAGAGCTTTTACATATTTTAGGAAGCTTCCCAATCTTCATCGTCTATGTTGAAGAAGAAACGATCAACGTCATCATCTCTAATTAGTTCCAGTCGCGAGGGCTCCAATGTGAAGACACAAGCACAAGGTTTCGATATCCAAGTTGAGGATTATCTGAAAGAGAAGTGAAGTGCAATAAGAAGAGAGCAATTACTTGAGAATTAATACAATATACATTGTCTTATATACACAGCCAACTGCTATGATCACTTACGAGTGTTGTTGTTTATGTTAAAAAGAAACAGATAGAATATGACAGCCTTAGAGATATTGGGATATTCAAATTATTGAATAACAATAAACTATGCCTCCTTCAAAGAGACTGGGAGGTGCTTATTACTGCATTTGCAAGTGCAACATCTTGTTGTCAATGTTGAAGTAGTTGCCTTTTTGAACCAACGAATGACAAGTCAAATGGTAGGCATGCATATCTCTCAAACAAATAATCTAACAATCGAATCTCCAAATTGGAAATGGCTAACAAGCATTTGTTCAAGTAGTTCTTGCTATATGTTTACCACTGCTATACGCATCATCATCCCAGTTCACTTTGAAAAACTTAATGGCATCAACAACAAATGAACCTTCCATTTTTCAACTTCATCCTCGTTTTGCCTGTTCAATAAGTCCTCTCTCTGCATTAATATCGATTGCATCTTGTGTTATATTTCTCTGGACATGAATTGAATTGATTATACGATTACGCCTCAATTCCAAGCAGAGTTTGATTAGTAGATGAGAGAAGTCATACCGGAAGAGTGGAATTGCTTGCATAACTGTATGCATTCATATGCACAAGTTTGCCAGTTGCCATTATTTCTCCCACATATACCTATCCTATATAATTAAATACAATAGACGAATCACCCCTTAATTATGCTCTACCTGTAGTTGGTTAATTACTATTTATAGCTAAATGTTATAGGGAGGAGACTGGGAGAGGGAGGAGAAAGGTGAGCGAGCGGAGAGAGGCGAATTGGATATGTATATCGGATAAATAATTGAATATATGTAACTACAACTATGTATATGTATCAATAATTCTACTTGTATATCTGCATACAATTTAAATTCGTATACAATTAAACCGAGTTAAAATATTTGAATTATATATTCAATTTCCTTCGCTTTATACAAACACAAACTATTTGTTGAATTGAGAGTTGCTTGCAAATATTAAGGTTACTAGGGAGATGCTAGCATGAATCATAGTAATGTAATTAGATAATTAACCGTGTTTCAATAGATTGATAGCATTAGATAAGCTAGATTATAAATAAATATTATTAACTTTTACCTGATATATAAATATTAAAAACGAATGATCCAAAATTAAAGCTCTTTTCGTTTTCTGCGGTACATATCATAAGGGAACATAGCCAAATCAAATTTGGAATTTTAACTTTAATAAAAATGAAAAAAGATGATGGAAAAAAACAAGCTTACTTGAAACATGCAAAATCTTTGATGATAAATGCTGAAGAGAAGAAGTGAATTTTGCAATACATTGATATCAGCATAGGAAGACACGTTGCAGTAGAAAATTAAAAAGACAAAAATTGATTAAACAACAAGAAGACACCTAATCATTATAGAAAATTGAAAAGGCAAAAATATCCGTAAAAAATAAAGCAAGCATGTTGAACTACCCTTTTTTTTAATATAAGAGAAGAGATACGTAACATGATCATACACATAAGTTAGTCATTTGATGTTATTGGAATAAGCATCTTTTTGAAAAGTGATCTTTTTGATACCATTAATAGTCTTTAAACGGTTAAAAAATTGAGCTCCCATATAAACTCAAATTTAACATTGGAAGCCAAATGAGGAATAAAACCCCCTAGAACATGAAAGTCGTACCAAAATATCTACTCTAATAGTATATGATTTAACAAAAAAGAGTTTAGTATGATCGACTCAACAAGATTGAGGATCTAAAGCCAAAACTTAAAGAGGGCCCTAATATTTTTTTTAAAAAAATATTCATGTACTATATATTTATTTAAAATCTATTTTTCTTGTCTTTTTAGATGTGAAATCATTAATTAATTATTGTTTTCTAATCAATTTGTTTTAGTAATTCTTTTTTAATTGATAATATAGTTAATACATTCAATCACATTGTTTATCTTAGATAAGATTTTACCAATTTTAGTTTTGAAAACTTCTTTCGGTCAAGGCAATAGTTACAGGAATTGTTAACATTATTCTATAAACAATATATGCATTAGGAAAAGAATCAAATCTTTTTATTTGATTGCGTATGTCCATTAAATCATTATCTTCTACTTGTATTATTTCTCTTAATAACAACTAAAACGAGAATATATATACTTACTAACTTAGAATATCAACAATAACAAAAGTTCAAGAAAAAATATAATATAAAGTTAGAATAATAAAACATGACTCACGAATTTAATAAGTTGATATAATAATATTGAAATAGTCTTGCGTTGCTTCAATATAATGATTGCTAATTGCACTTCTTAAGATTTTGAAGAAGACACTCAAAAGCAAATTTTGTTCTTTTTTGACTTGTAAGCAATAATAAATCATTTTTTAGGAGAGAGTTCAATATTGAGAATTAAAATAATATAATAGAGGATAAAAAAGATGAGTATAAGGTAAATAATATTATATGGTCAAAATTTTCGGAAATAAATAAGAAAATTATTTTCATAAAATATTTCATTCCCTTAAAACTGTGGAAAAAACTAACAGCTATTTTATATGCTTTTTTAACATTCTTGCATATTCTTTTTAAAAAAATTTAAACATACATATAATTTTAAGCAATATGTATAAATATTTTTTTTTAAATTGGAGGCCCCAAGCGATGACTTTAGTGACCTAGTGATTAAAACGGTCCTGATTCATAGATACGTGAGAGAGCCAATGAAGACAGTAATATGAGTGCAAGCTTTTGCTAGGAAATACCCACTCATAAAAGGAAGTAAGGAACCTAGAGTGCCTAAATAGAATTTTGACCAAAGTAGGTCATTATTAAAATTAATTTATCAAGATAATATTTTTTTAAAATAATACAAAATTAGTATAAATGTAGTTTTCAATAACATTTTAGATAATATTTTATTCAAAAAAATTCAATAACAAAAAGACAAAAATCTAACTAAGTAAACAGATAAAAGACGTTATTATCAGTAACGTTTTATAATTCGTTACTCTAAAGCATGTTTTATAGTTAAAACGTGACTCACAGTAACGTTTCTCTGAAATGGTTGAAAATTGAAATTCCATCTTGTACATGCCTCATTCATTATTCAACTTCTACTATTATTTACGTACCTTCACTAGAAATATATATGATTTTCTCTATTCTTTCTCTTTATACGTAGACAATACCTTTTTAAACAAAAGAAAAAAATGTGAGGAAGACTTTGAACAAATTGAAGCTCTTCTTATATCATTTCAATTCCAAAATTTGTGAATAAATCATATGAGAGATCTTCTTCTATCCTAGGTAACCGTTTCTTCCAAATATTAGATCAACCGGTTTCTTATGATTATTAAATACTAGTAAACTTATTCGCGCAATAAATAACTCGTTTAATTTATCAAAAAAAAAGAATTAAAATAGTATACTGCTAAAGTTTTGTGAAGGTTCTTTGTTGAGTTTAATCCAAATATATCATATTTCAAGTCTTAATCAAGTTTATATACTATTTAAGTTTTTGTATCGTAATAGTTTTAAATTGATTAAACTAAGAGTTTACATTCAACTATCTCATCCTATAATTTTATTGGGTATGTTTGTCCCATGTGTTTATAATTTTATACAATTTTTTAGAATCCATATTTTATTCTTAGTATGTTTTTAGTTTTGTTGGTATCTTTCTCACAAAATTTAAGAATTTAAATCGAATAAACTTGTAATTAAATTTTGAAAGCTGAGAACACCAAAATGTCATTATCTTCCTTGTTCATGAAATTAAAATAATTTTTAAATATTTATTGTGGTCCAAATAAGATCAATTGCAGTTTTATAAAATTAGTCTTTTCCTTCAAATATTGTAATCTTTTATTATTTTCTTTGTTAATGTTCATATTCTTCGAAAGTTGTTATCTTTTCTTCTGTAATTATGAATCAACTCTTTTCACTTTTCACTAATCTTAGCTTGTGAAATATTTTGTAAATAACTTTCTATCTTCACTAATTTTTACTACCAGTGTAATATACTTATAAATTTATATAAGAAAAATAGATTGAGAGATATATAACACCAAAATATAAAGTATTTGAAGAAATTAGTTATTTGAAACAATCTCTTTATACTCTATCAAAAATGCATATAACAAATTCGAGAAAATTAAACAAACGTTATCAAAATCCCCATAGCAAGAAAGTTGAGTCAGTTTTTATACCTTTTTTTTTCTAATCAAAAAGTTTATTATTGTAGCATATTCATACAAATTATATTATTTATTTTGAGATGAGGAAAATATCAAATTTTATTAACTTGTCGTGTGCATTCAAAGGATGAAGATAATCATACTTTGTCAATTTTATTTTTTCAATTTGTAAATTAAAGATGAATTTAGTAAATCATGCTTATTTCAATTAAAGTTAGAATATTATCCTGACAAATAAATATGAAATCACTATATTTGAATTAATATCATAACCATCAATTTTAAAACATCTTAAAAGAATAGAAGAGGATAGTAACAAAATTTGCATATATTAATAACGATAGTGTTCATCAAATATGAACTTCAATTCTCAAATATTTTCATATATTCATCTTATCTTTTACCATAAATTATAAAAATGATTCACATAAAATATGCGAAGAATAAAAATTATGGAAAAATAGCCAACAATAATGAAGAAAATAACACAGATGAGAAAAATAAAGAAAGAAAAACACTTTTAATAAGAGACATCAACAAAACTAAAATAAAACAAATAATTACCCATCAAATTTGAATTTTGAATTTGAATTCTCACAAACAATCATAAGCATATGACATATTATCATTCATACTGTAAACAAAAAAAAAATTTAATCATAAATAATCTTAATATTATAAAATTAGACATAACAAAGTGACGTATGTGTAAATATCATGAAAGAAATTCTTACCGCATTGGTGAGGATGATATGCTTTAGTATTTATAGTAATCAATAAATTTGTAACGTAATTGAATAATATAAATTAAAAAAATAATATTGTAATAAATAAAAGTGTAACTTACATTGATATTAAGTGACTTAATTGTAATATAATAATATGTTTAAGAAGGAATAGAGAAAGGTTTAGGAAAAGGTAATAAATGATGATGGTAGTGGCAGAGTTTTTAACGTAAGTTTTGGGCTGCATATGATGGCTCCTATTTACTGAGATGTTTTAAAAATCAAACATATAATTGTAAATGCTGGCCATTGGAGGGTGTCAGATCAACAATTCTAGATTCAACTTTATATTATTAGATAGATTAGACTATCAATAAAGAAGTTATTGAATTAATATTGATGCAATACGTAATTAAGCAAGACAACTATTAAAAAAAGAATTAATTGATATCGTAGAAAATCCTCTTTTTCTCTTGCAAAAGTATTATCTATGTATGATAAGAGAAATTTTATTTATATATATATATATATATATATATGTATACGCACACATTGTTACAACAACTTCATGTAACTTAGCATGGGGCCCACGTGCAACCGGTAACTAGTTATTGAATAACAAGAAACTATCACTCCGACTGGGAGGTGCTTATTAGTGTATTTGCAAGTGCAGCATCTTGTTGTCATTTCTTTGTTAAAGATATGACAATGTTGAAGTAGTTGCCTTTTTGAACCAACAAATTACAAGTCAAATGGTAGGCATATCTCTCAAACAAATAATCAACAACCGAATCTCCAAATTGGAAATGGCTAACAAGCATTTGTTCAAATACAGCTCTAGTATTTCTTGCTATATGTTTACCACTGCTATACGCATCGAAACAAATATGATCATCATCATTGTCCCTCTCATCCCATTTCACTTTGAAAAAGTTAATGGTATCCACAACAAATGAACCTTCCATTTCAACAATTTTTTCAACTTCATCCTTGTTTGGTGCGTAAAAAGGAAGACTAAAGGAGTCTAGTTTTGCCTGTTCAACAAGTCCCTGCATTGATGAGAAAACCAAAAATGTTAACTCTCTAACGATTTACATTGAGAAAAGCAGATGGGTAGATGAAGTGGACGGACCTCATGTATTAAATCAATGAGTGAGTTTGATAGAAGTTCCAGTAAGGCATAGTGACTTCCATAGGGATCAGGAATGGTGCTTCCCATAAATGTTAAAACCATACGTCCACCACTTACTATTTCCTCGGAGCGTAATTGCAGAAATCTTGAGAAATCCTTGTCAAATTGCTTCATGTATGCTTCAACTACATGAGGAGGACTTGTCCTTGTTATGTATATGTTGTTATTGTTCTCCATGTAATTTTCAGGAGCCTACATGTGTTCAGTATCATAATGTTTAGTGTGATATCTATCTAGTAATTAAAAGAGTTCATTGATACCACCTGAGAGAGCCAATGAAGACTATAAGATGAGTGAACCAAGTGCAAGCTATTGCTAGGAAAGAGCCGCTCATAAAAGGAACCTGGAACGCCTGATACGAAACAATTTGTGTGGTTTTGATAGAAGGATGGAATCGATTTGAAAATGTTGTTGAAGTCATTATCAGGGAGATCATTCAAATAAACTTGAAACTCTGGCATTTTGCATCTCTTTTCGTCGCATAATATTTGTACAATCTTTATGATATTTGATATTGTGAAGAGTGTGTTTGGTCCTGAAGAGCAACCCAAGTCTGCCATATTAAGACATGATTTTTCACCAATCTTCTTGATGGCATCTTCTAAAACAGGCATTGCCTCTTGTATTATCTTTCTCTGGAAATAGAGTATTGATGAGTTCGTATAGCAATAATTACAGTCTCAATTCCAAACAAGTTTCATACTTGAAGAGTGGAGCTGCTGGCATAACTGCATTCTCCATTTCCTGCATTCATATGCAAAAGTATTTTTTTCCCTGCCATTATTCTGCCTCGCTCCTTGCTGCCTCATATATAAATACAACCAATCGTTAGGATCAAAATAAGTAGGTGTATTTTTACCTAATGTATTAGTTAATTAAATCATTTACCTAACTTATACTAATTTGTGAATAATAATTAGGCCTATACTTGGACTTGTATGTTGGTATGCTCTAAGTTATGGAAAGTTGGGCCAAAATAATTAAGAAAGAATATTATCCATTCACCAAAAAGAGTACTTCGATGATTCGACGAGATGAGTATTAAAGATTGGCAAAGTGATGACGTGGAGCAAGCCAGCTTATTGCCTACTACTTGGGCTACAATACTTAACATTCTAATGGATATCTTTGAGCTACGTTGGCCAAACAGAAGTCTCTACGTCTCAAAATCTCACCTTTTGGAAAATGTAACTGTTCTTTATCATACATATTACTCCACCATTTGATAGCGACCTATACTTGTCTATTTTGTCAAATCAAGAGAAGAAAAAAAGAATATAACATATTAGACCCTTTTTTAATTACTTTGAAAAAAAATACAATTTCTTGAAAAATTCAAATTTTTATTCATCTGTATCATAATTAACAGTGATAAAATAGTAAACTTACTATATCAATCATTATTATTTTAATAAGTATGCAAATTCAAAAATGAACAAGTGCTTAAAAACGGAGAAGTAGAATATTGCAATAAATTAAATAACATAAAATATTTTGAAATTGAAAGTAGAAATATTTTTCCTATTAAAAAATAGCTTAGATTTTTCTCTCTTTTCTTACTTTTTTTTCAATTTCTCTATCTAACATTCTTCCAAATCAATTCCACAGATTTTCGATTAAATATATTAATATTTTCTATTTTTCTCATTTAATTTTGTTGCAAGATTTGATTTGAAGATTAAAATTGATTTGGGTATTATGTTTTTCAGATTCCTTATTTATTAACTTACTGTTTTTTTTTGTTTTGTTGATGTTCTTGAAATATTTTTTAGGGTTTGAGACTACATAATTCTCTCTTCAGTGGACATTTTCAAGAGAGTTACTATAGATATTGGACAAAATAATTAAAGTTGTTCCGATTTCCCATCATTTAATTTTTTTTTCACTCAAGAATTAAACAACAATGTAGGCTCCACTTCTAAATCTAAGGAGGATATACGACGGGGAAAAATGTGTGAATCCGTTGATGTACAAAATCCCACACAAATTCATAACCATGAAGTTGAAGAACACCACTTTGTTGGAGAAGAGGTATTTTTTTTTGCATGTTCTGTGTCTTGCATGTTTAGTTTAATTTGTTTAGTAATTTTTAAGATTAAAAAAAATTCATGTTACAATGCGTTTGGAAGTGTATATGAAATTTTTATTACGTTATAGTTAGTATTTATTTTTGTATTTCATATATTTATTGTATTTTGTTTTCTATTTTTTTCTATGTGTTAGTTATGTCAGTTTAACACACTATATGAGTTTGATTGTGTACATTTCATAGTTTTAATGTTTTTTGTATTCATAGATTTGGAAGTGCATATTGAATTTTGTTGTTGTTTTAGTCAGTATGTATTTATGTATTTCATTGTTATATTGTATTTTGTATCCATAGATTTGGAATTGTATTTCATATATTTAATTCATTTTGTATTCTGCTTTTTTTTGTGATAGTTATGTCAATGTACCACAGTTAGTATTTATTTTTTGTATTTCATAGTTTTATTGTTTTTTGTATTCATCAATTTGGAAGTATATATTGAATTTTGATATTGTTTTAGTCAGTATGTATTTTTACAATTAATAGTTGTATTCATTCAAAAATTATGTTGCATTGTTTCTGAATTTGACATTTTTTTTAATTTGTATTTATTCTAAAGGTATGTCAACTAGTAATGTATTTTATTTAAGAATGAGTACACCAAATATTCAATTATTTCTTTTAAATTTTATATTTCATTCACTTTTTCATTATACTATTTTTTTGTATTTTATATATTATTATACAAAATTCTAAATAAATATAGAATAAATAAAAATATAAATAAAATACATATTGAAATAAATACATACAAGATTTTTGAAGAAAAAAATAACTATATAGGAAAAAAAATATGAATACAAATATATTTGTTAAATGACTATATATATACATTCGGCATATCTATTAGAATGAATACAAACTAATAAAAAACTATAATAAATATAAATAGAATATATTGTGGAATAAATATAATTTTAAAAAGGTAAAAATTCTAGAGAAAAAAAATGAATAAAGTTTAAATTTTATTTGAAAATGTAACTGATGAGAATTAAGTGATCTTTACCTTTTTTGAAATATTCTCTCCCTTGATTTTCTCCCTTTTGTTATTAACTAATTATATTCTTAAAATAAAAATAAATCATAAAAAACAAACTAAAATTTGATATTTTTACTAAATATTGAAATGTTGCTAATGAGCCTCTTAAATGTTAAAATATTGACATTTTGAAAATTTTCCTCAAAAAAAATGTGGCTATGGGCTGAGACATGTTATTACACAAAATAATGAAAGCCCAAAATTCAGCCCAAGTATAAAGGTTGGGCTTGGACATATCATTCCTAAAGTAACAAGCCATACGTATATATACCTTGGCCCAACTTAAATAATTACATTCTACGCAATTTTAAACAAAGAGAAAATCAATTATATTAATTAAATAAAAGTATTATTGTATTAATGTCATATTCTAATCATTAAAAAATTTAGACTATGATATTAATTTAGACCTAGTACGGCATAAGTTCTTTAAAAAATTGATTGTAAAAAGGAGTAAGTCATCTTGCACATGAAGAATGAGTCTAACTAATTTGAAAATAAACTAGTAACATTTTTTATTTTAATTCGTAATATATGTATTATAAATAATGGAGACAATGACCTAGTACTTTTAACTTTCTGTGAAGCAGTAAAATTAAATGATGATAGTTAAATAATGACTTAACATGTTTTTTTCACTTAAATAAAAGGACTAGAAATAGTAATACTCGTGCATTATAAAGAAAAATAATATTTAGTAGTATCTTAGCTTATCTTCGAAATAATATTTTTTTTTCCCTCTTCCTTAACATGTACTAAAAAAACACATACCTTTCTATCTTATTCTATTTTAAAATATATATTTTATATGGCAAAACAGTAATATGTATCAGAGAGAGAAAATTTATTTGATTATTAAACGAAAAAATATTTTAAATCATAGCCCATTGGGTGAAAATAGCTCTTTTACCAATAGCAACTAAGATAACAAAATAAATAAATGTACTTTTGTCGTAGTGTTAATAATTTAAAATGATCACTAACAATAACATAAGATTCTATAGTTTTTAATCAAAGGTTTAATAATATCTCATCAAACAAATGATTGTTGGAACAATCATGCCAAGACCTAGGCACTTCAATCATATCAATTCTTCTTAATCAAAACAATATTATTTAAACTCAAAGTATTTTTAATTTTTTAATTTTGTGTGTCTTTGTTTCCTTAATAACTTACTCACTTTTGTCCTTTTTTTTTAAAAAAAAAAAAGACTAGTATTTTCTCAATAGAAGTAGTATTATAGATATGAGTAAATATAATTATTTGATAAGTGTCAAATTAAAATTTTAAATGTGAGTAGTTAACTATCATTTGAATAATCTAAAATTCTAAAAGTGGTATAAAATTTAAATAGTGGATCATTATCTGTTAATTACTCCGTTCGTTTCAAAAGAAATGTTTTTATTTTCTTTTTAATTTGTTTAAAAAGAAATGATTTTTTTCCTTTGTAAGACCACCAGATTAAAGGGCATTTTGGTACATCTGACATAAGTTTAATCTAAAATCACAAGATTAAAAAGTCTTCTTTATTTTCTTAAACTCCATTCCAAGTCAAACTACAGTGTCCTTTTTGAAACAGATGGAGTAATTTTTAAACCGAAAATTATTTATTATCTAATATGTTGATGTGCCTTGTTGTACCGAAAATATTTATTTATATATGTGACCATATTTGTTGGTGGAGAATATAGTACATGGAAGTCTAATCCTTATTATTAAGGTTAAATAATTTGTGTAATTGTTTGGAAGTCTAATCCTGATTAATATACTTTAATAATTTGCAATTGTTTAATAATCACAAACCCAAGGTCCACTGCCAGCTGGTTTATGAATTGTCATCATAGTGAAAGAATAAAAAAACCTTGGACTTGCTTGAAATCAGCATAAAAAAAGTTTGGTGAAACCAATTTGTATTTACACAAATCTTTGAAGATTAAAATAAGATTAGAATAATGTTTAGGTACAAAACATGGTGGGGACCACTAAAATATTGGAGTGAAATAATATGTATTTCTTCATCTTTAATCAAATGTTCACAAATTTAACTCTGAGATATGAAGTCGTCTTAGATAGTAAATATTTTATTCTTTATTCTTAATTAGAGGTTTTATATTTGATCGTCTTTGCAAAGAATCACTTTAACCTTTTAAAATGAAATTTTGTGATGAAAGTTTGAATCAATCGAGTTTCAAAATGATATCACGAAACGAAAAAGACATGGTGGGGACCGCGGATTTAAGCAAATATTAGGGAGGACTAATAGCATATTTAGCGTCCGTAGACAGAGTCTGATTGGTTGATTGAGATAACCAATAAAAGTTGTTTAATTAATTTAATCATAAAAGTTGTTTGATTAATTAATACCAAAACACGACAAATTTGCATTAAGTCATTAGGACCCCATTAATTAGAGCACTTACTTGGGAGGATGAAAAGGACTGTGACGACTTTGAAGTTTTCTATGAAGTAAGTAATTTTAATTAAGTAGATAAATCATAATACTTGCAACAAATTTTAAGTTTTTAAATTGTATAATCATTTTTTTCTCATATTGGTTGCTCATAATCATAATATTAGTAGCCATAATTTTAAGTTTTCAATGTTCATTATGGTTTTTTTTTATGAATGTAATGATGAATAAAAGGGAAAAAGTTCGAAATATATTTAAATTTTGATTGAAATT